CAGAGGGTCATTGTCACACAGTACCCTCCTACACAAGCTACTCGGGCCTAATTGCTTCGAGAGCTTCAAACAATTTGCGCAGGATACCAATTGTTTTGGGTATTCTCCTGTGCATCCATCTCCTACTCTCAGTGGAGATTGAATATAACTTGTCAGGAAACTAAACCTGACAAAATGGGAATCGAGGCGAGGAGTATTGCTTCCCAATCTAACTTGCAATTTATCTCTTTCTTTTGTCGGTTATGGGGGAAGGAGTTTGCTGGGGTGCACATTTTTAACTGACTGCTGGTTTTGTGGTGGTTCATGCAGTGGAATCAAGCTGGGTATGTCTTAGATGTAGTTCTGGCTGTGAACACCGGCCCTGTACTCATAGTGGATTTGGAGCTTTAGCTTAGGACATTAATAAAACAATGACCAAAAATTTTTGAAATTCGAATTTTCGAATCTTCACCTTTTCACCCTCTCCCTCCCTCTTGCGCTCGTCATATTCCTTCAATAAATTGTAATTGAGCTACTGGCATTTTTATCATGCAAGCTGTTCGAAAAAAGCTCCTAAACTCAATCTTGGACAATGCGAGAGTCCGACTGAGGGCTATTGCAAAAACATCTGGCTTCGCGCAAAAAATACAAAGCATGCTTGCGAGTGAGGCCTTCATCGAAGGGAAGTCTCCAATCCTTCCCTGTAAAGAGATGATTGATTCTGAGCCTGTCAGGTCAGAGAAAATTGGTCCCAAGACCAACATTCTCATCGAGCTTGCCCCAGAGGCAATCACTTCAAAGAAAAGAAAGGAAGTCGTCCGAGAGAAGACGACTGAACAAGCAGAAACTTCTGCAAGAAAATTCACTGTGCTAGCTCCATAATGCACAGGCTCCACATCAGCACCGGAATATCCTCCGGTGCTGATGTCAGTGATGGAGGCCAAGAAGCGTCGCACGACGCGAATCAAGGCCCGTCTATCAATCAGTTCCACTGCAATAAGCAGAGTTGAAACAGCACTAGGCCGTCAACAACAAAGGCAGCCAATACGAGGACAGCGGCCGACACATGACCGTTTCTACGCCTCGCACATGACCACCCCCACCAACTCCTGTCACCAGCTGGCGTAAGATCAGCTGTCTCAATCGCGCTTATTACCGCAGCTAAGTATATCACGCTGGTTCAGCGGGTAAAATTAGGCTTTGCACTAACAGCAAAGGATGAACTCGCTCAGAAAGAGCTCCTGGATTCCTCCGCAGCACGGAGCGAATCTGGAATCAATCCGGTTGACTTACAAATTGCCACCGTCCCGGTGAGGGTTAACACACTCACAGATCCCGTTTCCATTGCGGAAAATATGGTCGCCGTCGAGGTCACGCGAGTGACCAAATCGGTCCCTTTTCTTGTTTGTCCTCATGTGTTACGGTTTGACCATGGTTTAGCTTAGGTGGAGACCTAAGCGGAGTTTGGGGGCGTATTAGGGAGTGTGTTTCGTATTATCTTGTATCAAGCAACTAAGTTTCACTTGGCTACATTACATTGGAGCTAGGAAGGAATGTGAGACGGCGAAATAGAATAGCCAAGTGAGAGAGTCAGCTAGATGGCAAAGATGGTGACGGGCAGTGGCGGAAAAATATGATTCTCACCAACGGAGTACGTACTGGATGAGCTAAAAGGATGTACAAATAGTCATTATCCGTAGTTGTGGTACTTCTCTCTTCATATAGTTTAATCTTTCTAAAATTACACTATAACCAGCTTGGTTTTGTCACATCATTGCACCAGCAAACCCGGGGTGCCATACCAGAACCGGTAAGCGCTTTTCCCTCGAGAATCCACGCCCCGACCTGGATTTCGCCTCTTCGATGGCTCTGGAGTTGCAAAGCTCTTCCAACCTCGTCGAAAAATAGTTCAGTGCAATCGATGTCTTGGCTTCCATGCCTCATGTGGTTGCTCCCGCGCTCCGGCTTGCTGGAACTGCAGATCAAAAAATGTTTTCTGAAACGGAGTGCAAAGCCCCCACACGGTGTCGAAACTGTGAGGGACCTCATCTATCGGACTCGCGGTTCTACAAAGCCAGATCCAGCAAGTTCGACCCGGTGAAAAAAGAGCAGCTTGCGATGATTCGCAAGGTCGAGCAGTAAAATCCCGCAGATTTTACTCGCATCAGAGCTGCAGCCGAAATAGCCATTCAGGCGATTCACGGCGCGGAGAACGACGTCTATATGCCAGACGGATCGGGTTTTGGGATTCTGGGATCCGAAGAGGAGGTTTAAGGTTTCGGCCAGCCTCAGTGAAGTCGTCGAGTCTTCATCACACTAACAGTAGGACACTAGATGGAGAAAGGTTGCCTGCGAGCTCATCTTCTGCTCTCAGCAAAGGTCAGAAAGTGTCACTTGGAAGATGTGAAAGGAAATGAAATGGGCGAGAAGCGCGGGATCCGGACCTAATTGGGATTTCAGTTTTGGATTTTCGTTATTGATTTAATTTTTGCTGTTTGCGTCTAATATTTCTGTATAATTTTACACGGCTGGAAATAGCCGAGCCCACACAAAGTGATTCGTACCGGCTCCACCGGTCCTATACCAATAGTAGGACCTAGGGCTTTCACTTTAGCTCAAGAATTTAAAAATTCAACAACACAATATAGAATGGAATCTTTTACTATCAAGTAAATAGATAAGTGTCGGAATACTTCAAGTGGACGGGTTTCGTGACAAGCTTGTTGTAACAAGATTGGTATCAATTAATTCCCCCTAACTCCCTCCCTTCTAAGTAACAACTAATAATTACATTGGGGAGCCAATTTCTTATTCCCAGCGCTATTCTATATAAGGAAATGTTACGAAAATAAGTCACGTGATATAATACAGAACTATATCAGACAATGAGCTTTAAATATAAATTGGAGTGTTCTCCTTCAGGTAGTCGGGAATGATAGATTTAAAGAAGACCAGTAGTTCTATAGAGAGATTCATATTCATATTCATATTCATATTCATATTCATATTCATATTCATATTCATATTCATATTCATATTCATATTCATATTCATATTCATATTCATATTCATATTCATATTCATATTCATATTCATATTCATATTCATATTCATATTCATATTCATATTCATATTCATATTCATATTCATATTCATATTCATATTCATATTCATATTCATATTCATATTCATATTCATATTCATATTCATATTCATATTCATATTCATATTCATATTCATATTCATATTCATATTCGTATTCATATTCATACTACAAACAGTATCTCCAAAGGCTCAGTCACTTATCTTAAAAAGCAAGTACCCTCTCCACTGCATGACTGCTCACAACAATACTGAGTCTATTTGATTTACAAGCTCTCTTTATGAACACTCTTGGTCATAGACGTGATCTCTATGACTCTAAATTAAGACGGGCAGTAGGGACAAACATACTGCTGTTCTAAATAAATATTGCCATCACTAGTCAGAACAGACGCCCACGTAAGTACGCATTCACAGTCTTTCATTCTGACCAGCGATATTTCCTTTCCAAATTTTTTGATGGTTTATTTGGCCTTCGACCAATTCCGACCGTGTGAAGCAAATTGTTTAATATAGATCTAGCCAGAGAGATTCTTGGCAAGATCATTTGAGATGTTAGGATAAATTGATATGATGGTGATTGGGATGAATACAGTGACAAAGGTGAAATTACGTTAGCTAGAGCGAGGATTTTCAAATTGAAGAACGTTGTACATAATATAACGTTATTTTCGAGAAATTAGGCGGTATTATTAACCAAGTGATCATTAGATGATGCAGTGGTAAATCAAAAGTAACGCTGTCTCAAATAGGTCTAGGCGGCTTGTAAGCCTGTCTCACAGGAGATAGGAGATGGCCAGTTCGAATCCAGTGTGCCTCGGTCACATTTCTCGCGGATCTGATGTACTTAGTGACAAATTCATACTTGGATAACGAAATATTTGGACTTTCTGTTGGATTAGTGTTCATAGAAGTGTGTCAATTGTTCAGTGCTAACAAACTCAATTCTGTGATAAGTTAGATTTATACAAAGTAGAATAGAATAGAATAGAATAAAATTTTATTTATGTCCCTACTGAGTCTATGACTATGAAGGACAGCTAAAACTATCTAAATAGCTTTAAAGTTAACAGTAAATTTGTATGTGGTTGTGTTCAATTTTTGCCAATAGATGATGAGGGTCGTGCCCTATATACAAAGTATATTTGTCTTCGAAAGCTAAAAAGTCATATGATATAGTTAGATGGCATTCATTATGTAGCCGAATTCATAGCTGAATACGTGTAGGTTGATTCAGTAGAAGCTATAACCCTACTATTATTCACTTATTTTGTAACAAAATAGAGGTAGAACTTACATTTTTCCAACGGCCATATAGAATAATTTGTAATCATATTACAGTTAATTGTAGAACATGATTGGGTTATAAAGTAACATTACCACAAAAATTAGAAGCGAGTCTTTTAGGCATAAATCTCTTACTTTTCGAAGAATACCACCCGGATTTTAGGGGCTAAGCATCCACTGTAGTAATGCGTTTCAAAAGTTGAAAGCTTAAGTTGTTAAATTGCTCAGAATAAGATGGAAAAGTATATATTCTGAGATAGCCATGAAATGGTATATCAGGTCGTGATTAACACCCATCCGGATGTATTCAAAACACAAGGTCAATAACGAATGAAAGATGGTTACATTACATTCAACTTTCTCTAGAGGTTGGGGTTTTCGTAAATTGGAGGACCAAAAACTAATGACGGGGGAGATTTTCAGGTCACGCACTGGTGATAACATTGATAAAACTCTTCCCGAATAAGATCTCTTTAAGATGCAGATTAAATTTGGGCAGGGAATTTCTAGGTTATGGTTTTCTCCTGTTAGGATATTAGGTCTCATTAATACCGATATGGGCCAATAGAGCGTCAATTCATAGTGGTAAAATTACAGTTTATGTGAATGGGTCGATGAATAAAATTAAACATCTAAAATATAGATGGCATTCTCTCATAATATACTTTCGGGGCTCGTTTAGGGTTAATATTTGAAGCATTCGGTGTAGCGCGCTTGTAAAATTCTCCTCTATTAGGCCACTGATCAGGACAAATTTTTCTGAAGCTTGCTAAATTGCTGCCGACCTCCTCGGTTGGTATGACTTTCGTAGGTCCTTGATCTTTAATACTCCAGCTAGAATTGTTGAAAAAGCTGTTTGTCGTTCTGCGAGAGATTGAGCGAGCATTAAAAATTGATTCGGTTCTTTTTGCCGGCGTTTCGGATTGTTCGTAAATTTCTTCAGCGCACTGCTGGTCTGGGGTAGTGGCACTCCTTAAGTTCCTTCCCGGTCGAAAAGGCCATGGTGTTGAACGTGAGGAGTATCCGAGTGAGGGGTTTACCATAAACGACATTTGATCCGATGGAGTATTTGCCGATGATATTGGTTCTTGTTTATGATTTGGAGTATACTGGGATTTGGCTTCAAGCTGGTGTGCCATACTCTGATCATGATAGACCCGAGAGTTCTGATTTACACGAAATGAAGGGGTATTGGTAGTTACTGTATTATACATTTTAGATGAAACTCCGATATCAGTACTAGAAGATTGAGTGCTGAAATCTCGCATGTGAGGGTTGAGTTTAGGGCGGACAAATTTAACGTCATACTCATTTAAAACTTCCCCATGTACAATTGAAATATCTTTCACTTGTTGCGAAAATTTTGCCTGAAATAGGAGCAACTGTGATGATATAAAAATTTGAAGCAAAAACAGCTTGAAAGCCGTCATACTAGGAAGAGGGTCTAAGGTATCAGTGGGAAGGAAAAGCCAGTAAATTAGAACATGGCCAGGACTCATCAAACATGATATCCGAAGGCAAATTGGATATGGATCCCAAACAGCTATCTCCCAGACATCACGCTTCGGATCAAGATAGGTCGAAGATTCGTCGATAGTTCCCTTGAAGAAGTTGTTTAGATTTTGTAAGGAAAAGAGGGACCTAGATGGATGAGAGTCAATCCGAACAAGACGTAAGGATTGAGGTTGCTGGGCGACTGTTTTCGGGCGCTCGAACATTCGATAGTGTCGTTTACGAGTGAATGTGTATACAACATTGAGGATAGAAAAAATTGTCAAAAGGTAAAGCGTCATGGAGGACTATACTGCGATCAGACGGCTGTTCCAAATAGAAGAAGTTTTGTTAGCCTACTGTCAAACTAAGCCATCTTTGTCTAGATACTTTATCATCAAAAACATTATTTTTTGAATTAATAATCCCCCTGGAGTTGGCCTGGGCAACCAGAAAAATAACATGGCATGAAAAGGCAGTCGAATTTCCGAGCTGTAAGGAGTAAAACTCTCCTATTTCAAGAGTTTCGGAAAGTGAGAAAAACCACTCCTCTGCATGAAGATATGAATTTATGCGCTCAAATAGTGACTTCTTTGCAATTCTCGACATTTCTGGCTGATTTTAGTCTTCCAGCTCACATAATTAATGCGTTATTCTCATTCTTGTTCTATCTGTTGTTTGGTTGTAGTTTCCTCCTTGGATGACACGTGAGGCAGCTGGAAGTGCGCTCACGACGCGGTTGTTACAAATGGGACGCTTGACGAACAAGAGGGGCTAATGCATTAGGTTCATGTTGGGCCATCAGCACAAAGGAAACTTTGATTAATAAGTATGCTTTCATAAGGCTGAGATTAGTTATGCAATTCCAGGATAATTTTTATTTCAAATAAGTATTAATTGCGTATGCAGCTATGTAGCTACGACGCAATATCAGAGAAAAAGTACAGCATAGATTAGATTAGATTTTTATTGTAGTCCCTACTGAGTCTAAGACTATGGGGGACTATGTGAATCTAACTGAAGATTCTAATTACATCTGAGAAATTTAATTTTGAAATACGCCAAAACTTGTTCTTATAGATATTGAGGGAAAAGGTACAGCATAGATAACTCTATCTACACACAGAACGCTTATGCCTCGAGTTTCGTTTACAAGTACCACTTTGAAGTTATGGTGGCATTTTCTTCAATCCAAGTCAAACCTCATTTGTAAATACCCATCTAAGGAAACGTCATAAAACCCTGAGTCTTCCATGTTGAAGCTTTGTCATGGATTGATAGATATGAGAGAGAGGTTTATGGGTCACGATGTATGAGATAACTGAGGTGTGAATGTATGAGTTCCTTACTACTGTTGTTGTACTAGTTAGGGCTGTATTGTCTATATACAAAAGGGATTTCTCCATCTACAAGTCGGCCAGATGGCTTAGATCTGGCTAGCGGCTTTCGCCTTCCTCTTCCTTCTCCCCCGCATGGCATCACGTGCTATACAACTACTGCTCACGATGAGATCCGATGATGAGAAGTGTTAGATTACAACACTCCAGACATCCCTCAATTATCTTTCATCTTTTTTCCGCGCGAAATGTGGTTTGAGGCATCCACTATGAAACTCCAGCTCTCATTATAGAGTCTGTAGAGCTGAAGTAAAGTAACTCCTTCATTCCAACTTTGTTTGGGATATCAAAACGCTCTTGCGCTCTGTGTCGTCTCATCTCTTAGCACTTCTACCTAACATCATTATCCTCATACTAACCACACAAATCATATAATAAGGATGAAGTGCTTAACATATTCCATTAAGTTTTCTTGGTATTAAATATACCAATAACCGTATCCAATAAGTGCATCCCAAATAGATGTGAACTATGGTGTAATAGCAATCATGTAAGGAAAAGCTTGTGTCTGAGGCATATAGTAGTCTGTGCGTATGTGGAAATACAAACTTCCGCCCTGGTGCAAATATGCTACCCCGAATGATATTGGATTATTCACCACACGTACTGTTGAGTACTAGCCCACTCTAACTGTCTAAGCAACATACTCATTAATATACAAAACTTGAAGCTAATGCTCCTAACTGATATATATTATTTGGGTTCATTATTTTAACGCTTGGTAGTCAGAGAAGCCCTCGTTATATTACAACATGTGCTACCCACCAGCGGGCAAACAAAAAGCCCACGAAAGCAAGGTAAAAGACCCTTCCGCCATCATGAAAAGCAGATCTCGTCTTGTCTATATCATCGTCGCTACTAATCATGACTTCCGAATCTACTAGCCAGGAGGTCATCTAAAATATATGAGTTACTCGACGACCCCACGTCCATAACGATTTTTGGATGCTCGGCTAGGCTTCTTCACGACAGTCACTCTCGACCAAGACTTTTCTGACATCCTTTCACGACCTACGATTTGTCCTGCGGCATGAATCAGGGAGGAGTAAGGAGGAGGCTAGGAAGGTTGAGAGACGCAATTAGATATACACAGGTCTGCTGCGCCCGGCTGGCCGGCCTCTTCGTCATAGGAGAGCCCCGCACCCAGTGGTTTTTGAGACTTTTCCCTGCAGCTATGCACCCGCAAATGGCCATTGTTTCGTTAGCTGGAGATGGGAGATAATGACGGGATAACGGCTCCTCTTAGTGTGTACTCGAATGAAGACCTGTGGGGGTATTACTGCTGGAAAGAAGACGTGAAGGAGGCATAGGAGGGAGTACACTACCCGAGGCATAGATACTCCTGGCCTGTAGGTAGAAAGGACCTACATGCCCTTACATAGTTATAGACTTTTTAAGACAATAAACACTCACAAACCCAACCATGTCCTAGTGCACAGACCACTAAAGTAGCTACATGTACCAGACATTTTCTCCTTTCGGCAAGGTCTTAACCTAGCGTAATACACCTCCATCCCAATCGGTCTCTCCGTCACAAAATCTTCTACCTCTCACGAAATCCCCTCTATCCAACCTATTTCACTCCTCGGGATTTTCACCCAGTAATTTGTCTGGTTACATGGTTATCTGGCGATACCAGTATTTTTGTTTTTAGATTCGTGACATTTCATCAAAGGCAAACCAGCCAGTTCAGGTCGGTTGTCAAGGAATAATGGCGACTCTTGCCGCCACATACAAGGACCGGCAGTTTCTTGCAGTAATTGGAGATGAGGTATGCTGAAAGCAAGCGGTTCGGGGCTTTACTAATATATGTTTAGGACTCCGTGACAGGACTTCTTTTGGCTGGTATTGGTGTAAGAGGCAGATCTTAAATCCAAACGCAATTTTGATTGATTAACATTATGGCAGCATGTCACCGCAGCTCCTGATTCGAAGAAAAATTTTCTTGTCGTCGACAGCAAAACAGACAATCTTACCATTGAAGAAGCGTTTGATCAATTTACCACGCAACGAAAAGACATCGGTATTCTTCTGATTAATCAACATGTATTTTCTCAAAGCTTCGTGTTTAATACACAATTACTGAATCCTTGCAGGTAGCTGAACGTATTCGTCATCGTGTCGATACATACACAGCTGCATTTCCTGCTCTACTCGAAATACCTAGTAAAGATCATCCATATGACCCTGAAAAAGATAGTGTTTTAAGGAGAGTACAAAGGCTTTTTGGTGAATAGATTGAAGCTTGGCAATAGATGAATATACGAGTATCATCAATCCTTGTTACACGGTCATGTTATACAACAGGAGTAAGGAGTTGAGGCGTGAGACAAGGAGTCACAGATATTTAGATGATCTGAATATGTATATACAAAGAGGTGCGCCCTTTTTGGCGATGCCAATGCCAAAATCCAAGTGATCTAATTAAAATCTGATTTTAAGCCAACAACGTTTACAGAGACTATAAAACAATCGAAAAACTATAAACATTATAATCATGACACCGTAATTAATCTGTGCCACCAAAGGGGGCAATTCTTGATACACTCAGTGGTGTCTCCTACGAACTTTCAGTCAGCACTACATATTCTGCAGAGCCGAGATTGAGTAACAACGCCTTCACTTCGATGAGGATTCCTATCGTTTTCGCAGTCTGTATCGTCTTCATCCCTCAGCACAACCCTTATAACGCCATCATCATGGAGGAAAAGCCATCTGATGAGTTTCAGTTGCATGCCCAGCACCCAATACTGTGATGGTAGATTGCATCAACTGACCTCCAATGTCACAAAGAAAAGGGATATATATGGACATGCGCACTTCATATGCTCCCGGTGTCAAGGCATCAACTAGATGGGGCTGGAGGCTATTTTGATATTTTTTCTCGCGCACGCAGTTTCCGATACTTCCGCTTTCTTCCTTTTGGGTAGGAGATTCTGTGGAAAAGTTGGCTGAGTTCCACGGGTCTTATTATGTTTTAATTATCTTTTCTCGGTCTATAACTATGTAGGATATGGATGTTCTTTCTTCCAACAGGCCAAGGATACCTATCTTGAAACATATCCCTTCTGATGCCTTTCACACAGCTCCCTGCATTAGAACTGTACCTCACAAGTCCTCATTTGATCATATACTTTCATGAGCTCTCTCCCTTTCATTATTTCCAGTCCCCAGACAACAAAATTATGGCTATTTGCGAATGTATGGCAGCCGGGAAAAATCACAAAAACCACTGGGTTCGGGGCTCTTCTAACACTGAAATAAGGACTAAATCCGAAGATATAGTGATCCTTCTAAAGCGTTCGAAGAGGCCGGCCAGCTAGACGATTCACACTTGGGTGTACCCCGGAAAATTCACCCTCTGAATTTCTGGCCTCCCTCCACCTTTTTTCCGAAAGTCGAGATGAAATGTCAGATACGTCTTGACAGAGCGTGATTGCTGTATGATTGCTTAACCCAACTTACTTTATGCCGTCCAGGGCTATGGGTAGTTCCGTTGACCCATCGACAATAAAAGTCCTCCTGTAAGTAGACTTATGCAAGTATAAGTCTGTATCCAGTCCGAAAGCGAAAGCACGATCTGCGTGCAGGCATGTCAGACTAGTAATTATGATCAGAGGATGGCAAGACTGAACACCTGTACGCGGTGTCCTCTACGAACCTGGGAGTGAAATATTTTCCCAGAGCCAGGTTCAGTCAAATTTCGCAATATCAAAGAAGTTGGCCCACGAGGCAATGATTCAAAATACTCCACCACGTCGTTTTTTTCGCTCCTAACGAGTTTGACTCCTACCTAAGTCTCATCAAGTCCACAAGTACGACCTAGCACACCCTCATCCCAATGACCACACCACTCTTCGACCTTCTCTGGCCTCAGTTGACCACCTAATACACGCCCACGCCGATATTTATACCCAACGGAGGAAGCAAAGCGTGGCGCACATATCTGGGAGATAGTTCTTTGGGATGGACGTAAGAGGGATCAGGACAAGTTGAAAAGATGATGCAAAGGACATGACCTCGAAGGGCGTGAGGTTCCGAATTTTGGCAAGGAGTTTTACGGATTGAGCTTTGTGCGCGCCAAGACTTCGCTTGCGAGAGTGCAGCTGACACTATAAACACAAGCCCACGATGGAAAGTGTTGTGATCCGCCTCCTGGTGGTGTTCTCTGGTATGGTTTGAGTAGCCTGGGCACCTACTCCACTTGGGAAGGAGACATCTCAGATTACATTTCGCGCGGAGGAAAGTCGAAAGATGATGGAGGCATGTCTGGATAACTCAGGGTTTTTGAGACGTTCCCCTGGGTGGGTATTCACGGATGAGGGTTGACTTGGGATGAAGAAAAAGCCACCATAACTTCGCAGTGGTACTTGCAAATGAAATCCGAGGCATGAGTGCTCCTCTTGTAAATTGAGTCATCTTTTCTGTACTTTTCTTTGATATTGTGTCATAGCTAGATAGCTGCATACGCAATTAAAATCTGATGCAAAGAAAAAAGAAAAGAGTGCATTGTAGCACGGAGGACAATTTAATAAATTCGTTCTTCTATTGGCTCTCATCTTTAATGATTCACGTGACATTCACACGAAGACCTCTCTAAGTTTTATAAGTTCAAAGGTTTTCGAATCACAAAATAGATCCACAGTCTCATCCTGACCTTGGATCTGAACATGAGGCTAGAATATTTTCAGGCCTTAACATCTGGTTGGTCCACCATCCGAATCTACCACAGCCTGACATCTTGCTGGCATACTCTGAATGAGTCTCACAAGATCTTCGGAAGACACGGAATCCCATGCCTCCTTTACAATGTTGCGAAGACTATCTTGAGTCTGCGGCTTTCCGCAACCCAGATACGGATGATGACGCTGGATGTAATCCTTCATCTTATTCCAAACAGCTTCAATCGGGCTAGGATCAGGCAGGTTCGCCGGCCAGAAAATCGGTTGAATGAGCCTCTGGCTCATATCTTCCATTGTAATTGCGGCTGTGTGGGCAGGAGCATTACCCTGCATCACGGAAAGCCAAGGTCTCATCGAGACCATGCCATCGATAAGAGGAATTATCTTCTTGCAATATTTTTGGGAGTTAATGGAACCCCATTCCTTCTCCCAAAACAAATAAGGGCCTTTTCTGGCCCTGCGAAGCAACCCAAGAACATCCATCCGACCATATTCTTCAGTTTTTCTCCAACACAATCAGCGTTATATTCTTGGGATGTCTAGCTCATAATTTTAGAGCATCAAATTACCATCTTCTTATTGCGGAATGTACGAACACTTCTTGCCACCCATTCTCTAGAATGTCTTCCATCCTCTACCCAAGTTTCGTCTGTCCATAAAACTGACGTCCAGTCTTCATATGTCTAATTGAGATGAGCTTCGGCCCATTCTCTGCGTGTCTTCATAGTTTTCTGAGATACTGGAGGCTTTAGACGAGCCACATGTTGCTGATATCCTTTTTTTGAAGTTCTCTTTGTATTACCCGCTCGCTAACACCAAGATGTCTAAAGGGGCCAGATGCGAGTTCCAGAAATGTTTTGCGGCAGTTTCTAGGTGAAGACTCATTGTAAGATAAAATCTGATCAACATCATCTGCTTTCAGCCTTGAGGATGTTCTTTTTCTCTTTTTGGGGAGACAGCTCTGTGGCGCAGTGAATAGCTAACTTGACCCCCAGAAATGCCTAGTTGCGCGGCAATCTGCGTCTGGTTTTTGCCAGATTCATGAAGCCCATAAATCTTAATTTTTCTTTTAATTTATATTTGTTCATATCTAATTTTTCTACTTACTAAAATGTTTTGATCTCTGGATAATTGTTTGATTCGAGGTGTTGAAGGTGGGGATTGAGGTGGATTCATCTGTAAAATAAGGTTATTATCGAGTAAAGCCATGTGTCTACTGAATAAATAACTTTGTATTTGAGAAATCTAATTCTTATATATAGTTCTTTTTACCTGCTTTGGTGCTTTAGGCCCATGCAGGTTTTTATTGGAAGATATGTACTTTAAGTAAAATGACTCAATTTGACGATTAGAACACTCACACTCAGATTTCATTTGCAGATACCACTCGAGGTTAACCCTTACGGCGTATAACCTCTTCCGTGCATACCCACCACAGGGAAAAGCATGAAAAACCTGTGGGTATCCGAGTGTGCTTTCATCATCTCACAAGCACAATATCACCGCGAGAGAGAATGGCGTGTGGGTCTAACTGGATTCGAACCAGCATTCTCCTGTCTCGAATGCGGTAGGTTTTGAGTAGCCTGGGCACCTACTCCACTTGGGAAGGAGACATCTCAGACCATATTTCGCGCGGAGAAAAGTTCAAAGATGATGGAGGCATGTCTGGATAACTCAGGGTTTTTGAGACGTTCCCCTGGGTGGGTTTTCACGGATGAGGGTTGACTTGTGGTGAAGAAAAAGCCGCCATAACTTAGCAGTGGTACTTGCAAATGAAATCTGAGGCATGAGTGCTCTTCCTCAACGATGAATCATCTATTCTGTACTTTTCTTTTATATCGTGTCATAGCTAGATAGCTGCATACGCCATTCAAATCAGATGCAAAAAAAAAATGAATTGGGTAGGTGTCCAAGGTACCCAATATTTGTTTGGGAGTACGGCCCGGATGGTGTAACACTGCACCATCCCGCCCAATCTTAAGGATAATTATGGAAACAAATCACTACAAAATGTACGTCCAGGTCACGGAAAACTAAGTTGTGAAAACCAGTGAGTATCACATTGAGTATTCGTTAATCAGAGTGCTATAGAAATTTTCAGCTTTCTGTTATGACCAGAGCAATAATAACCATCAGACTCAAAGATCGTAATAGATGTTTTGTAATCAACGATTACAAGCGTGCATTGAGTTTAGAGCCCAACATGATATACATTTACAACGGCACACCACCACGTGTATAATTTCTGATTTTTTTTTCGAAACAGGAGAGGATAGGAGCATTTTACTAGGTGTGCCCTGAGCCAGAGAGGAACCTAAAGTGCTCTGTAGTCAAAGACACAAGTTCCATAATAAACCCGAAAGATAAATTGCCAATCAAGCGGGTATTCTAACTCCAACCGCAAACGTGAGTTTGCGAAGTGAGAATTGCAAAAAGTGCAACAGTGGTTTTTCTTGTTTTCTCAGCTGTGTGATTGTTCATGCATGAGTTGGGTGGCCGGGATTGAGGTAGTAGTCTCACTTTTTCACATGGAAAGATGATCAATCTACTATCCTGGATAATTTACCGTAAGGCTATCCGGTCTTCACTCAAGTCGTAGTAGAATCTGTATAGATTTAATGCGACACCTGAGGCAGGTTCAGGTGTTCTTGATCTATCATCTGATTGGGCCTTACTGACTACAATATTGAACGGGAAAGTCCCAGAAGATTTCCGATAAACTATTGGGCTTGAGAGAAGCAGAGAAAAGTGCCAATTACATCTCGATTCACCATCAAATGCACCAACGAATTTCAATTACTTGATCAGAGCAGTTAATACGACCTATGAAACTAATGTTGGCTGAGATACACAATTTGCCAATATTTCTGAACCATCGAGATCTCGCTGGCAATCCTCTCAATTGATGAAAACTACTGTTCAAAACTGTCACGTCTTTGAGTACACACAGAAAAGAGCACTTCTACAACATGAAGTTTAATATTGAGTACGCACACTATAGCTATCTTCTTATTACCCAGAAACCTGAAAATTTATAGTGACTTGCCTGTTCTTTTCCCGTACCCAAGAATTTATCCAGGTTAGTTAGCACCTATATCCGTGATATCTTTGGCTAAAAGGACATAGAACAATACGCGTAAGCCCATGAATACGTTACATACAGCAAAACTAATCAAAATTTCAGTTACATGCGAGACCTAAAAAGCGAGTTTAGCTTCTACCATATAATTATAATTCTAACAATCGTAGAAACTCTCGATGCAGGTGGCCACTGTGTATTGGAAATGCCCTCGGGGACAGGCAAAACAGTATCTCTCTTATCGTTAATTGTAGCATATCAACAGTACTATCCCGAGCATCGAAAACTGGTCTATTGCTCACGTGAGTATTAAACGTACGTTGCTGTCAATTCTTGACAGTTACAAGGAACCATGTCAGAAATTGAGAAGGCTTTGGCAGAGCTTAAAGCATTGATGAAATATCGGGCAGATCAACTAGGTTATGAAGAAGATTTTCGAGGTCTTGGATTGACGAGTCGCAAGAATTTGTGTCTTCATCCTTCCATTAGACGGGAAAAAAGTGGAGTCATCGTCGACGCCAAATGTCGAAGTCTTACGGCGGGATTCGTGAAGGAAAAGAAGAGCAGAGGAGAAGATGTTCCAGTTTGTATATATCACGATGTTGGGGCACTCTTTATCTTTTATTCCCCATATACAATTTCACGCTGATAAGCTGCAGAATTTGGACTTGAAAGACCCACACAACCTCGTTGACCCTGGTGTCTACACTCTCGATGGGCTCATGAGATACTGCGAACGGGAAAAAATTTGTCCATACTTTGCATCACGGCGCATGGTGGGTAAAGAAACTTCTTAGAAATTCTTAACTAATTAAGGAAGATTTCTTTTTGCAACGTTATTATCTATTCTTATCATTATTTACTCGATCCCAAAATAGCGGAACGAGTTTCCAAGGAACTTTCAAAGGATTGTATTGTTGTTTTTGATGAGGCTCATAATATTGATAATGTCTGCATAGAATCTTTAAGTACTGATATAACAAATGATTCCTTGCGAAAGGCAACACGCGGAGCCCAAAACTTAGAGAACAAGATCGCTGAAATGAAAGAAAACGACAAAGAAAAGCTTGTCAATGAGTATGCGAAATTAGTGGAAGGTTTGAAAGATGCAGATGAAGCACGTTCAGAGGATGCATTTATGTCGAATCCAGGTCAGTCGGAATTCTTAAGCCCTTACGATCGGTCTAATATTTGGAAGTTCTTCCGGATGATCTGTTAAAAGAAGCCGTGCCAGGAAATATAAGACGTGCTGAGCATTTTGTTGCATTTTTAAAGCGTTTTATCGAGTATCTTAAGGCAAGATTTCTACCTACGAAAAGTATTCAAGTTAATCCTCCCAAAGACTCGAATGAAAGTTCGGCAGGTCATATCAGAGACACCCCCTTCTTTCCTCGCCCATCTCAAAGAATATACGTTCATTGAGAAAAAGCCACTTCGATTCTGCGCCGAGCGACTGACTTCCCTGGTGCGAACTCTGGAATTGGCAAACATTGAAGATTATCAACCACTTCAGGAAGTTGCAACTTTTGCCACTCTAGTCGCCACATACGAGAAAGGATTTTTATTGATTCTCGAACCATATGAATCCGATGCAGCCGAGGTGCCGAATCCAGTCCTTCATTTCACCTGCTTAGATGCCGCGATAGCTATCAAGCCAGTCTTTGATCGCTTCAGTTCAGTTATTATTACCTCTGGTACCATCTCGCCCCTTGAGATGTATCCAAGAATTCTGGGGTTTAATACCGTCGTTCAAGAATCGTACAGTATGACCCTGGCACGTCGGTCTTTTTTACCAATAATTGTTACTCGAGGTTCAGACCAAGTGGCAATTTCATCTGGATTTCAGGTCCGAAACGAGCCATCCGTGGTACGAAATTATGGACATCTCCTTACCGAGTTTGCCAAACTAACTCCTGATGGAATGGTCGTTTTTTTCCCTTCGTATCTTTATATGGAGTCGATCATAAGTATGTGGCAGGGTATGGGAATACTAGATGAAGTCTGGAAGTATAAACTCATCCTTGTGGAAACACCTGATGCACAAGAAACATCTTTAGCGCTCGAGACTTATCGTACGGCGTGTTGCAATGGACGAGGTGCTATACTTCTCTGTGTAGCGCGTGGAAAGGTTAGTGAAGGAATAGACTTCGACCACCAATACGGCAGAACAGTGTTGTGCATAGGAGTTCCCTTTCAATATACAGAGTCTAGAATTCTCAAAGCAAGATTAGAATTTTTGCGAGAAACATATCGCATACGGGAAAACGACTTCTTATCTTTTGATGCCATGAGACATGCTGCGCAATGCCTGGGTCGTGTTCTTCGAGGTAAAGACGACTATGGAATTATGGTACTGGCAGATCGGAGGTTCCTGAAGAAAAGAGTACAGTTGCCGAAATGGATCAATCAAGCGCTGTTAGACAGCGAAGTTAATCTAAGCACTGATATGGCTGTTGGTGCAGCTAAAAAATTCCTAAGAGGAATGGCTCAACCGTTTAACGCCACTGACCAAGAAGGGATCAGCACATGGAGCATAGTAGATCTGCAAAGATTTCAAGAGAAAGAGGGTGAAGAACTAATCCAGAATTTGAGTAAAGAACTCGCTAGCAAAAATTTGACAAAGCTGGAAGAGAAGCCAATTAAAGAAGATGAATTTGACTTCGACGAAGATGAATTAGAACTGTCTATTATGGACGTGGATGCTAAATGATAAATCTTGATCTTTACCATCTTCCAAAAACTTTTCTATTTTTATCAGATTAATTTCATTATCAATTGTTGTACAAGAACATCGTCATACTTAATCGAGTAATCCAAGCGAATAATTTTCGCTATCTGATAGAATATTGGGCAATTTTGATTCGATAGTGCATGATTAGTACGGTGCAAAAACCCGTTGTCATTAGTGCACAATTGGCTACGGGGATTTACGTATTGTAGGCTTGCTCATAACATCGTAATATACGGGTATGATAGGGTTTTTACTTAGTTCCTCGATATCATATCAAGTCAACCCATACTTTTTGCCAGGGCCCAAAAGTTTTCCATCTTTGCACGTTGCAAAGCATCCCTAGCTGCACTATCTGACTCACATACTTTGATTCCCCATTTTCTGAATGCTCGCGCCTTGGTCTCACCCTCAAAGACGAGGACACACTTATTTTGGGACAGGTCTTTAAGATCACCCTTTTCGTCCTCTGCTTTTAACCAGTCTTGTAAAGCTTCGGTCTTTGTACCTTCCTTAATCCTGGTGGGAGAATTTTCAGTCCAGTCTATTCGCTGCATAAGAAGTTTTCGGTATTGCCGAATAGAATGCTCCCCACCTTCGACAATTACAAGATTAAACCTAGGGTGCATGATACAAATACCGGTGAGAGCGTTCTGTTCCGCGTTCTTCGCAATCTTAAATCGATGACTTCCATTAGATAAGTTGCTTATTTTAAATACAAGGAGATGGATACCCTTTGATGCATCTTTCTCTTGGTTCAAGGCCAGCTTTTCGTGACGTTGTTCCTTAGAAAGTTTGCGTTGCTCGTTCATTTCAACATGAGTTTGGTATCGTGCCGCAATTTCCCTATTTACACGCGCTTCAACTGCAGTCGGGTCTTTAACTGCTTCTTCACCCAATACACGCATGAGATTACTTTTCTTGACTTTTGGAGGAGGAGCAGGCTCCAGACCCAATCGGATTTTGGCCTGCTGCTCCTTCAAGTCAGCCATTCTTCTCTGGCGACGTAGCTTAGCTTGCTCTTTTGCTGTTAGAAACATTGGTTTAGGGGCAGCTGTATTTTTTTCTTGTGGGGGTTCTAGCAGTACGGGATGTTGAATATACTCTGTTATTATGGAGTCTGGACTATCGATCTTGAGGAATTTGGGATCATCAATGAGGTCATAGTTCTTTCCTTCAACTAAGCCCTCATCCCACCATTCAATATCAAGCGGTGGCTCAACAATATAGTTTTTTTCCGTATCCAAATCTTCGTCTATACCAATTTTTCGTGATGACTCCGCAATCCGCTTTTTCATCGCCTCCAATGCAGCCTGTCTCCGAAGCGCATTAGCTTGTTGAATATATTTTCCTTTCTGATTAAAGATAAGCTGCTTTGAAAATCGGTTCTTTAGTGTTGCTGTTTGACCCCCAAGACTTCCGTCAAAGTAAGGATTATTTCGAACTTCTTCTGAAGAGGGGCCAGATAAGTTTAGTTGCTTCTTCGCCTTTGATGGTAGCTTTTCTGAAGGAGGCCGCGAATTCCCAATACTAGTTGCAAACTTTGGAGCAACAATTTTAGAGGGTTTATACTGGCCTAAATCTTGAAGAGCAGGATGTAGATCCACATTTAGACCACCCTTCGCAGTTATCGAAATTGGATTAACTGGCGGATGAAGATTACGGGTCTTGCTGCTGCCAACGGCCGCAGCTACCCTTGCCTTGAGGGAGGCAAGTTTGTCTGCGGCTGACTCTGGTTTGCTGACACGACTAGAAGCATCGTGACGGGGCTTTAATATTGATGTAGCACTTTTTCGGTCCATAATGTCATCCTCCTTTGTTAAGTTATGACCTTCGTCGGTTGCGGTCGCTGCTGTGATAGACAGTGTCGTCTCACTTTCGCGCCAGCGGCTGAGTCGAATCGCGTTTGTGAACTCGCGAAGTTAACCCCTGCAAAATTTCCTTCTCGATCAACAAAGTTTATATTTGCAACGATCAGCAATTAACGCCGCCAATGAATGGTATCGTCAATCATGAATACTTCTCACCCTGTCTCTTGCTCAATAAACAGTGTTAGCTTCGGATTTCTTGATGTTTCTGACATAAAAACACTTTCTGTGAAAAGAATAGAAAACCCCCAAACTTTCGACACTCTCCTCCATCCCGTTCCAGGTGGGCTCTATGATCTAGCTCTCGGTGCTTGGGCGGACTACAGGTCAGTAAATCAAATAAATCTGATCCTTAATCTGACAAAAATGAAGTTGTACAACATGTAACCTCAATGCGACTGGCTGTCCAGGGCACGTAGGCCACATAGACTTACCTGTTCCACTTTATCATCCAATTTTTATGGACCAGCTCTTACGCTTGTTGCGTGCAAAGTGTGCATACTGTCATCATCTAAAAATGTCTCGCAAAGAAGTCAATCGATACTTGTGTAAACTTCGACTAATACAACACGGACTTATTGTTGCTGCCGAAGAGCTTGATAATATTGACGTCGCACTAGAAAAAAAAGATGATGAAGCGGCTGCCTCAGAATCGGAAGAATATTCACCTGACGAAACGGTCATACGTCGTAGAAATCAATTTGTCAAGAAATCAGTCAAAGCAGCCAAGATTAATCCGTGGGAGTGGAAGCGCGAGAAAAATGAAGCAGTCGCAGATGTACGTAGAACTCTGGTAAAAAACTTCTTCAAGGATATCACTGCTGGCCGGATATGTAATAATTGCAGTGGAATTTCCCCAACATACCGAAAAGATCGCTATGTCAAGATTTTCGAGAAAGAATTAAGTTTCAAAGACAAAGCAAAAATGTCAATGGGAGATTTTCGGGTAAAGAATGCTGTTGAAGTACTTGGCAGCTGCAAGAAAGAAGTTGTGGATGGCGCATCCAATGAGGGAAATTTAGACCTTCATATATCTTCCGATGATGAAGAAAAAAATGAAAAAACACATGACCAAACCAGAGAGCAACAGACGAACAAAAGCACTGACACAGTCACAGGAGTTCCAAAGGCCAAACCTGAAAAAGCAGCTCAAAGATACGTTAACGCCATGGAAGTCAGGGCGCAACTGACTCTTCTTTTTGAAAAGGACCAAGAAATATTTAATCTCATTTACAACTCACGTTCAACTGTGAAAAAATCGATAAATGTATCACCAGATATGTTCTTTATCCAGACGCTCTTAGTTCCACCAAACAAGTACCGTCCCGAAGCCAAAACTGGAGATGGTAGCATCTCAGAGGCTCAACAAAATTCTCTTTACCAGTCGATTCTCAAAAATTCGGAACAGATTTCCTTGATATTCCAGGATATAATGAATCCTGACCCAGAGTCCACTTACCGAAAGCGTGATTTTTTTGATCTACAAGAAGCATGGTGTTCATTACAGGATTCTGTAAATTCATTGATAGATAGAGATAGAAATCCTATTCAAGGTGCTGCGGGGAAAAAGACTGAAGATGGTATCAAGCAAAAACTTGAGAAAAAAGAAGGACTTTTCAGGAAGAATATGATGGGGAAGCGGGTTAACTATGCAGCCCGTAGTGTCATTTCTCCTGATCCAAATATTGAAACAAACGAAATTGGAGTCCCCCTTGTATTCGCTAAGAAGCTTACTTATCCAGAACCTGTAACGAGCCATAATTTTAAGGACTTACAACAGGCTGTTATCAATGGTCCAGATAAATGGCCCGGGGCGGTAGCTATCGAAAACTTCAACGGACAAGTCGTAAATTTACGAACTAAATCTCAGGATGAACGCCTGGCTCTAGCGAATCAGCTACTCGCGTCATCTAGTAATAGTATCGGTGCCCGGAATAAAAAAGTACATCGCCACCTAACTAATGGTGATGTTGTTTTGATGAACCGACAGCCAACATTACATAAACCTTCGATAATGGGCCATCGTGCAAGAGTCTTGCTAGGCGAGAAAACAATCAGGATGCACTACGCTAATTGCAATACTTACAATGCAGATTTTGATGGGGATGAAATGAATATGCACTTTCCACAGAACGAGATCGCAAGGGCAGAGGCTCTACAGATTGCAGATACAGATCACCAGTACCTCGTGGCTACTTCCGGAAAACCTCTTCGAGGGCTTATTCAGGATCATATCTCTGTATCTGTCTGGATGTGTAACCGCGACACGTTTTTCGATAAAGCTACTTACCAGCAGCTCATCTATAACTGTCTCAGACCTGAAAACGGCCATATTGTTGGTGACCGTATAGAAACTATCCCGCCAGCAATAATAAAGCCAAGGCTTCTCTGGACTGGTAAACAAGTTATAACTACCATTCTCAAAAACATAACTCCGGTCGACTGTGCACCCTTGGTTCTAACCAGCAAATCTCAAATACCTTCTGAAAGGTGGGGTCCTAAATCAGAAGAAGGAGTTGTTCACTTTTTCGGAGGTGAATTTATCACGGGGATTTTAGATAAGTCACAAATTGGTCCCTCAGGAGGCGGGCTAGTTCATTCCATTCATGAAGTGTATGGCCCAACAGTAGCTGGTAAGCTACTAAGTATCCTTGGGCGACTTCTCACGAAATTTCTTCACATTAGAGGATTCACTTGCGGTATGGACGACCTACGTCTAACGCCACAGGGTGAAAAGATACGGAAAGAGAAGATAAAAGAAGCCCAAAATATAGGCTTAGATGTTGCGGCCCGATATGTGACCATGGCTGATCAAAAACCTAGTAATACAGACCCAGAGCTTCTAAGAAGGCTTCAAGACGTGACACATGATGATTCAAAACAAGCCGGATTAGATATGATGATGAATAAACGTTCAGGAGAACTCTCATCCTCAATAACACTCGCGTGCCTTCCAAGCGGTCTCGTGAAACAGTTTCCTCGAAACCAGATGCAAAATATGACTGTATCTGGCGCAAAGGGAAGTGCGGTCAACGCCAACCTAATTTCCTGCAACCTTGGCCAGCAGGTTCTGGAAGGGAGACGTGTACCTATAATGGTAAGTGGTAAGTCACTGCCATGTTTCAAACCGTACGAAACTCACATAAGAGCTGGTGGCTATATTGCGAATCGCTTCTTGACAGGTATCCGGCCACAGGAATATTACTTTCACGCTATGGCAGGGCGCGAAGGATTGATTGATACTGCTGTCAAGACCTCTCGCTCTGGATATCTGCAGCGCTGTCTTATTAAAGGTATGGAAGGTTTAAAGGTTGAATATGATACGTCAGTTCGGGACTCCGATGGCTCAATGATACAATTTATTTATGGTGAGGATGGATTAGACGTCACCAAACAAAAGCATCTCACTGATTTCAAATTTTTACTGCAAAACTTGGTTTCTGAGCTTTCTCAATTAAATTATGGCGAATCTAGATACAATGAAATTTTTGATAAGAAAGAAAATATACTTAAGCGAATGAAAAGAGCTATCAGACATGCTAAGGCTGGCGATCACAACGGACCTGACCCTGTGCTTTCAGAATTTAACCCTGGTAGATATGCTTACGCGACATCAGAAAAGTTTTTTGAATCTCTGACAAATTACTTAAAATTAAATCCCGATGGCGTGGTTAAAGATAAACAGCATCCGAATGGCGTTGGTATTCGAAAAGCCTTGGAGCCTGTTCTAGTTGCTAAATATTTGCGCTCAGTTGTTGAGCCTGGAGAAGCGGTAGGTATTGTAGCAGGACAGTCTGTCGGAGAACCATCCACTCAAATGACTTTAAATACCTTTCATCTGGCAGGGCATTCAGCAAAAAACGTTACGCTTGGTATACCCCGTCTCAGGGAGATTGTTATGACAGCAAGCAACAAAATTTCAACACCAGCCATGACTCTTCGTCTTAACCCAGAATTATCTCATAGTGATGGAGAGAAATTCGCAAAAGCTATCAGCATTTTGCCATTATCGGAAGTCACAAAGGACGCAACTGTGAAAGAACGAATTGGCAAAGGAAACACGTTCCCGCGAGCAAAAATTTATGATATCCATATACAACTATTTCCATCCAAAGACTATATGAAACATCATGCAATCAGTATATTCGATGTGCTTAATACCTTCGAAATGAAATTTACACCCAAACTTCAATCCCTGACCAGAAAAGCTTTTGGTAAAAGAAAGGAATCTAATAAATCAGCAACAGCTGCGATGCCTGAAATTGGACAGTCGATTGGTGTTATTGAAGAAGGAATGGGAGCAATTGATCGAGAGTCTATGCAGCAGGCTGGTGAAGAAGATGACGATGAAGATGCTACTAATGAGAAACAAAAACACAATCGTACTGAGGCAGTAAGTTATGCAGAAAACGATGAGGATGATGACAAAGTACAGCGTCAGGCGCAAAAGGAAGTTGAAACTATTGAGGAAGAGGAAGAAGAAGGAGCTGGAGCTTTAGGACCCAACGATTCAAGTGATAGTGAAGAAGATGAAACTGCTCCTTCAAAAATATCAAACTCATCCTTCAAAGAGCATGAAGCTGATGTTATGAAGAGGTGTAGTGATATATCTAGATTTAACTTTGATGAGGAGAATGGTGAATGGTGCGAGGTGGCACTCGAATACGACGCAGACGTTCCCAAGATTCTCATGCTTTCCATAGTTGAAAAGGCTCTTCAGGAATCTTTGATTCAGCAAATACCTGGCCTCGGCGCATGCAACTTCGAACCAGACGTCAAAGTTAAAGATTTCGAAAGTGGCAAGTTTATAATGAGCTCTGTTGTCCATACAACTGGGGTAAATCTAAAAGCTATGCAAGCCTTTCCACATATCATTAATCCGAACACCATTTCAACCAACGACATAGCCGCTGTCCTTGCATACTATGGTGTTGAAGCTTGTCGTGCTGCCATTATTCAAGAGCTTCTTGCCGTTTTTGGAGGTCATAGCATCAGCGTTGACCCGAGACATTTAAATTTAATTGCGGATTTTATGACACGAGGTGGCGGTTTCACCCCCTTCAACAGGAATGGTATGAAGGGAAATGTCAGTCCTTTTATGAAGATGAGCTTCGAAACAACCGTTGGATTCTTGGTAGAAGCTGTCTGTGATGGAGATTGGGATGACTTGTCCAACCCCAGCTCGCGGATAGTTATGGGAAAGATGAGCAAGGTTGGGACTGGTGCTTTTGATGTTTTCACGCGGGTGCCAACTTCTAAGGCTGAGGAGATTGCAGTTTGAGACCCAGATGACGTTAATGCGGGAGGCGTTGAGTTTTTCGAAATAATTAGAGGTTGTATCAATGGCGTCGATATAAAAAAAGCTTGATTTTCTTACGTTCCATCAATGAAAGCCTGTTTGAAGCTATAGGCTGATCTCAACAGTTATTGTAGCTGCTTTTTCTTTATGGCGCTACTTCCGCCATCTAAGGCAATACAATCCTTCCCAGAAAACGGCCCACCAAACTAATATTTCCGATATCTCCATTTCATTTGTAGCCCTTACAAACTTCTTCATCCTGCACTTCTTACTCTAGAACACTGAGAAGGTCAATATGCGGAAGAGATTGCCTCTTAGTATACAACTTTAATCACTCCAACATCTCAAAGCCCTAATTCTCTGATTTAGGAATCAGGTGTATTCTCTAAACTGCTATGATTTCCCCTGTACGGCTTGGTGTAAGCATATTATACTTGTGCTTTCAAACTCAGTTTTCTCCTTTTCAATTGGATAGTTGGCAATAGATACAGGGCTCATCTATAGCAGTTATCACTTAAAATCATTGTTCTAATTCCGGATAAGCTTTGAGGCCAAGTAAATCTACGGTTTTTCTCGTGCCAGGAGGGCTATATTTATTGTTGCCTAAGGCATGATATATTTGTCAAAGATAATCTGTAGATGACAAGAGGCTATTATAAATTCAGTGACTTGAAGGCAGTACGCCAATATTTAGTAGGCCTGGACCACTATAATGTGATGAGGAAAAGCTTTCATGGCGGTCGTAGGCAAACGTTTATTTCACAGACCTTTTTTTCTTTTGGCCCTTGGAGATCAGATTAGCATAAAAGACGAGATTGCAAGCTAGCTAAAAGGTAGTGAGGAATCTTTGGAAAAGATTGGCAAAAGACTATTGATAGTGACACTGCAAGCTCTTTTTTATTACTAATTCTTTTACTTTCTAGTCTAAACCTATGAATATGCTGGCCATGCTCGTCCTTTCTAACTAAAGACCAAGGATACCTATCTAGAAGTATATCTCTTACTATGCCCCCCATACAGCTCCCCTCAAACGATAACCCCCCTCACAAATACCCATTTAATCAAGCCCTTTAAGGAGCCCTTTGCCATTCGTTATCTCCAGTCTCCAGCCAACGAAGCGGAAGCCATTTGCAGGTGTATGGCAGCCGGGGAAAATCACAAAAACTACTTAGTGTGGGGCTCTCAAAATACGAAGAGGCCGGCCAGCCGGGCACAGTAGACCTGTGTATACCTCGGGGATTCACCCTGAAACTTTCTAGTCTCCTTCCTACACCGTTCCGAAAGTCGTGATGAAATTTCAGAAAAGTCATGATAGAGTGTGATTGCTGTAAAGCAGCTTAATCCGACTTCTTTTGTGCCGTCTCGGGTACTAGGGAGTTGCGTAAAGACTCATCGACAATAGAACTACTCCTGGCTAATTTGCCGAAACCTTGGTCTAATCGCCCACAAACGTTCCAGAGTTGAAAGCCCCTCGAGAATGTCAGGCCCAGCATGATCTTTAAAGACATCTTCCCTCTCTCGCCCCATATCTCAGCCGCCCGTCCTTCCTCAAGATGTATAACCCCATTAGAGCATCAGTACCCCATAAATCAAGACCCCAACTTTGTATTTTTCGACTTGATTTCCTCCTTGCGGGTATACGTAGCGTCGTAAATTTGTAGTGAATGATGGCCGGTAATGAATGAGGCAAGCTCCTGTTTGCAATTGGGGTGACGCCTTTATCGGTCGGCGAGGCGAGATTATATGTGTTTAGATCGGGGTTGAGGTCTCAGAAGTTAATGATGAGTGCTGCATGATTGAGAAGTCGTCAAATGGAGATATGCTTGAGGTTGCTTTCGACTTCGATTCGGATGCGATTCTTCTTGGCTATCCCAGATATGCAGAGCATACTGAGCGATTACACCTGCACCACTGGAAGGTGAAGAATTCGTCTTTGCCGGCACATTGTCCAAGATGCAAATTGATAAAGTGAAAGGTGAAATTGAAAAGCCTATGAGCAGTAACTTCCACGTACTAAACGGCTATTTCCCTACAGAACTATCCGACCCAGCACGAAAACGCCATTCTAACCTGAACTTGCAGAGAAGTCTGCCAGCCACTTTTTCTATTGCCACCTCGGGCAATACCAGGCTCAGCTTCATCGGGCACAGAATTCTAATCCCACCGTGTCTTGGGCTCTTGCTTCAGCGCAGGGAGTTAATGCAATCAATAGCTGGTTGCCTACTACAAATTTCTTCGAAAGGGCACAACGAAAAGTCTGATTCTTATCGACTTTGTAATCTCGGACAACAGGCATAAAATAATTATGGATCGTCAGATGTCGATATGTGTAAATATACGTTAAGCATTGCAAAGAAAATATAAGAAAAGTGTAGATGTAAATGTAGATGAAAGATAATTGATTATATTAAAAGATGTGCCTACTGTAGAACCTGCCTGTCTTCACCTCCGGTCCAGGTCACTTATAACCTATCTATCCAGAGTATTCATACGTCATCCATCCACTAAGCAACACATCAAGACTTAATCTTTAAGTTAGATCTTGTTACAGTCCCGTTTACAGAATGTTAAATTAATGTTCGCAATGGTGGTGTTTTCCTATGCTAAAAATGTTCCATGCATCTAAATCCCTGAGATATGTAAATGCTAAACATGCTCTGATGTAACAGTCTAACACACATGTATCAAAACTGAACCTCTCACACCTTGAATCATAGACCTTCGGATTATACTCCAAGGAGAAGCAGTAGCCTGAAATATATCCGAGCATCTCTGTATATTCCTGACCCTCATCTAATCAAAACAGATTCGAACAAAATCACGATTTGATATAAACAATTTCTTCTTTTCATTTTTTTTATAAAATCTCTTCTTCATTTAGTACCGACTGCATAGCGTGAGATTTGTTGGACGGACGATCTCTATGTATAGTATAATCTTCGAGTGCAGGATGATGAGATCCTGGATTTCTTTTGCTTCATTGGGTCTATGTAGGCGTCAACACGTCGGGTAGTTTAGACTGGTTTGGTTTCTTCATTAACGAGCTGGGTAAAGTAACTCCCGTCGCAATCCGACTGGAGATTAAGTACAGGTAGGCTCGGGCCGGATCAGGCTAACTACCATTGAGTACATCTACCTCGTCCCAACCCAGACTTTTCCCATGTGTTGAATCACGTCAAGCCCAACCGTCCAGAGAACCCCCTTTTGACGCGCCGAAGCGCAAATTCCTCCTCAGCCTCAGCCGCCACGCGCCCGAGCCCTTGACACCTTCGCGATCAATAACTTTTCCCTTCAAATCATTCCCAACTTTAGCTCATCTCATCCAGGGGTCGTTTTCTTCACTGGAGGCCTCATCCAGTCGCCCACCAATGCCTCCTCAGTCTGTTTTCACTTTTTTTTTGTTCCGTCATGTAGCATCCCTCTGTACTTCAGCCAATATCGTCATCCCAGGAACTTTGTAGAATGTCCACCCCTCCGGCCTTGTCCCGTCGCTGCCGTGCCCCTAACTGTGGAGGTCGAAAACGCGACTGAGAGCTCAAGACCGAGATACCGGTGACCCAGACTTTGTCGAACGCTCTGGTTGATGTGCTGGAGAAGTGTCGTACGTATTTCGTCGGTGGCAAATCGTCACAGGTCAAGTTGTTGGTGCCCTTGGCCGAGGTGAGGATGCATTTAAGGCCGGTATTTCGACCGTACCTTTACAGCGACCGGTAGATGCGGAGGGTCGGATATCCTCCTGCTTCTTGGTTGGCGGTTTGACTTTTGGAGGTATGAGATTGCTTCGGTAGGTGATGAGATGATTGTGGGGAGGGCCGCACGAAGAGTTTGGCTGGAAATGATTTTGCAGAGAAAATGAATTGAGATCTTGAAGATGTTAGTTGTTTAAATACAAACATCAGATAGGCTAAAGCCTGTCTGCGGCTCGTATCTGGGGTGTAGATGGTTGATTTCATTGAGTTGCGTAGTTGTGAAATCTCTGAAAGTTAGATTTTCGACCAAAAATGAGCCAACACTACTCCTACTGATCGCCAACTCGACGAAAATTCTCAAATCCACCCTTTGTCGTGACTGAATCTTGGCTCTGGGAGAATATTTCACTCCCAGGTTTGTAGAGGCCACCACTGACAGGTATTCAGCCTTCGTCCACAAGATTTTCTGGGTAGATATTTGTTAGGATTGTTGAGAGAGTGGAGTCACAGTGGCGAGACTAGATAGAGGGTAAGATAAGGTATGTAGAAAATATGTATAGTAGTGCAGCAAGACATATGAAAATGTATGCGTGCTAAGTACAGAGGGTGAGGGGGTTTAACCAAATCACCGGCTGACTAAGCAGCATTTTCTAACTAAATAAAATGTCATACAGAGACATGAATTGTTCATGAGTTAATATTGTTCAGACAATCATGACTATATCACTACATCAAGTTGTTGTGATATTGCTTGTTGCCTGAGCAGCATGAAGACAGCAGGGCGGAGATATGGGTCAAGAGGTGGTGTTCAGGCTAAAGGGCGCCATCCTACATTATGCATGAGATAGGTGCATAACCGTTCGGCCAAAAGGCTAGACCAGAGGTGATCCGAAGGTGGTGGTTGTGACAGAAGACTAAGCATGAAGAACTCTGTAGTTGCAGGCCAAGCCATCATACATATACTTGCTTTCCTCCCACTAGCTCATCATAACATAGGCCCTAAACTAGTGACAACATAATAACCAGTGCCAAGAACTATTCTGTTGTCATAGCAACATCAGGAGAAGGGTAAAATTATAAACTAAAGTTAGGATGGGAAGGAGAATCCTTACACTTGTCAATGACTGGCTCTACGGCAACAGGTGCATATGCACGTCGTGCGTTGACCATAGATACAACCGCTGCCGCTCCTGAGTCTCGGACTTGGGAGCACCGGGTTGAGTCATTGCAAGGCCACAATTGGGGTAGCGTCGTGGAGAGTCTACTGACCACGTGCGCTAGCCATAAGCGGTT